TTTTCTTTATTTCTGTTCCTTACCTTATTTTTATTTTTCACTTTTACTTTTCTTACTTTTATAGACAGTCCTAGAAGCTTCTCTAAAAATTACTTTACACCCAATTAATGTTAACATTTGGGTGATTTTTGTTGCCTGTTTCATGTAATTGAAAATGAAAAATGATTCTAGAAATGGAATAGATAATGGCTGTATAAAATGAATTCATTGGTTAGATAGTAACGAAATTTTAAAATGGATTAATCCTTCTCGTCAGAATTGTCGCAAGGAGATCCTCATCTGTTTCCCTGACTTGCTTGCAATAAGATGGCTGGACCACTAACTGGTACTTATGCAATTCAGAATTATGAATCATCGTAAGGAGAAAAGATATAGTTAAAATAAAGCAAATCATTTTCCATTGCCAATAAAATAAACCTGATGTGCTAAACGACCTCCATACTAGATCTATTAAACTCAATCATAGTGTACCTCAGAATGTGAGGATACAAGGAAAGCAAATTGTATCGGAGACACGACCATGCACACAGATACGTATCGATCCATCCAGCTTGATGTGTAAATATCCCGAATTCTGATGTTCCGATCTGTACAGACTAAGCCTACCTCGGTTTTTTTTTTTTTTTTTTAATAATAATACTTACAATTTGAAAATTTCTTAATAATCATTGATTAAACTTCATAATGATAATACTGCAAAAGATATGCAATAAATGCAGAGAATCCCTAGATGATACCCCTACGTGCTGGAAAATCAAACATTTCTTCATATTTTCAGCCTCCTAAATCCTTAGATTTAAGTTAATATTTAACAACTTGATTTTAAAATAACTTCCCATCTATAAGCCATCTCTTCCTTAGCCAAGTGACATCCAATGCTTCATTCTTCAGCTCATCATTCTATGAAATAATGGAAACTACTATGGATTTACGTATCGCGTTATGGTTTTTAATTTTTTCTACGATATTTTGAAAACACCACATATGTCAAGGAGTGATTTTTTTATTTCTTTAGCAATTAAATAACCTTAAAACACGAAACCTAACATAAAAAACCTCATCACCAATATGGACTTTGTTTTTGCATGCCTCCTCTCTGGCTATCTTTTTGGTTTTTATTGTATATTTAAGCAATAAAAGAAAAAGAGTGATTCGTAAGCCTCCGACCATTTGAAACGATAAAACTGTAAGGTGACATGATAAACAAAAACCTGTTCAAAAAAAAAAAAAAAAAACCATGAGTAAAAAAAACCTCAAACATTACGAAATCCACTTCCTTACATTTAACTAAAAAAGTTTTGTGTACGTCATGTAATCATGACGTACACATCATATCAGCTTTTCGGTATACCATAAATTCTAGAGTACTTTTTTGCACTAACAGATAAAGTTCAGGGCAGACAGCAAAAGAGAAATTGAAAGAGTGTGACTTGTGTAGTAAAGTATAGCAACTCTCATATTAGGTACCAAAAAGCTTCACTTTTCTTGAAACCTTATGGATGAACATAAACAGTGTTGGAGAAATCTAAAAATTTATGAGGAAAATTTGTGTGAAAAGAACACGCACATATAGTTATTACAGCAGCAAACGTCATTCAAACTATGGCATCTTTATACTATATAGGTTTACCACTGTTATTTCATGCTTTACTTCTTTACTAAGCGTGTATTTTCCCAGCCTTGAAAACGATTTTTCACCGTCCAAAGAAATAAGGTAAATTAGACTGGATTTTCCTTTTACATATAGATGCCTTCGACATAATAATTTCATATATTACAATAATTTTCTTGCTAACTAAACAAATTATTGTATTAAACAACAGTAACCGAAATTCATGTTCTTACTGTTGTGATCCTTCTACAGTTCTTGTAACTGCTGTGTTATCGCACTGTTTGCACGGTCATATTGCTCACGTAAATGCATTAGAAGCTCTTCGATACCAGTACCAAATTTAGCCGAAATAAAGAATACCGAATAACCAAGGAATTGCTGTCGAATAGCATCTTTGTCAAGCTGAACTGTCAAGAAATATAAATGAGTTGATAATGTTTAACAGAAACTCCATTACCTAAGAAATGATTCATTCAACTCATTTAAAATTTAGGAGATTCCCAATAATTAATACAAAATCTGTAAACAACAAATAAAAGTGAAACTCTATGATCTGTGGAATGCTCATGAAAAGTTTAAACTGCAAACATTGAAAAGCAAGAATATTAACGAAAGCATACATCCAGTAGCGCCAAATCCATTTTATTTATAATAATGGTAGTAGATCGACTACCCAAACCACGCTGATATTGATCCACTTCAAATTTTAATGAATCAAACTGTTTCTGGAAATCAGAGCCTCAAATACTAGTCTTGTTTTTTAAAAAAAAAAACGCAGGGAGACAGAATAAGCTCTAATAATTTAACGAACCCGTAATTGAGACAGTGTTAAATCCAAAACATAAAACAAGCAGTGGCATCGTGTAATATGCCTCAGAAAGCTATGTCCAACGCCGACATCTGCATGTGATCCTTCGACAATACCAGGAATATCTGCCACTAAAAAAGTTGAAAATTCATTCTATGCTGCTTTCAAAACGAAACCGAAAACTTCGAGCTTGAAAAAAAATCAGAGTACCAGCTACTTGTATGAAATCCTCGTAATGCACAACACCAATGTAGGCTGTTAACGTAGTAAATGGATAGCAAGCCACCTTTGGCTTAGCTCTAGAAATTGCACGCAGAAGAGAACTGAAAATCCGAATAAGGAAAAGATTTTCATTATAAATCAGAAGCATAGCAAAAATCCTTTCTTAATGTTATGAAAAAAAAAAAGTTAAACATTCGAAAATTCTGAAAAGCCAACGATTTTCCAGCATTAGGATATCCTATTAATCCAGCAGTAGCAATTCTGCACATTTCCACGTCATATGTTAACTGAAATGGTTTATAAATAATCAAACAAACATCTTTAAAAGGAGAAAATTCCTTGCTATTTTTTGTTCAAGAATATTTTCAGGAACATACTTTTAGTAAGCAAGGGTATGAACTTTACAACTAAAAATAATGCAAACAAACTAACTTCTTCACCCAGTCCACCTAATTCAGCTTTCAATGGGATTCGCATCTCGTTTGTTTTGTAAAACTGATTGCCGTGACCACCAGCACCTCCCCTAGCAGCAAGGAAGATTGCTCCCTCTTTGTCCAAGTCGATTATTACCTGGAAGAGAGCTTAAGTTGATAATAAACAATGTATTTGGGACTAAAGATTGAAAATTGTAGATAACAAAACCACTGGAAGTTACTTTGTCAGTGTGCGGTTCTTTGAATACGGTTCCTACAGGTACTTTAATTATTTTATGATGAGCACTTTTCCCATGGCAACTTTTTGGATGACCACCTTCACCATTCATCGCTTTTATCACAGTTGGTATGCGAGAAAGATCTTTAACACATGGGTCTACTGAAAATATTATTTTCAAGTCATAGTTACTGGTATAAAAAATAATGAAGTTTTAGTGACCTTCATGTATGAAATAACCTTCGAAGATAATATGTCCACCATTTCCTCCATCACCACCATCCGGACCCCCGAACATGATACCTGCTTCACGGCGAAATGAAACCATGCCATCACCACCATTACCAGCTTTACAATTTATTCTCTTCTGATCAACAAACGACTTCGCCTCAAAAAAAAAAATTTTGTGAAACATGGAAAAGTGAACTAATAACAGAAATCAGCAACAATGTTTCGGGATACCTGAAGTAATTACCTCGCCTCCTCGACTAGTTCTATCTGGAATAATTGGTCTTTTGGTCAATCTCCTCGACGATGCAGATGATGATGTACGAGTACTAAGAAACCATGTCCTTACACCGAATTTTAACAACATCCAAACATACCTTCAAATCCTGTAAGTTCTGAAATTTCCTTACTAATTCAAGTCATTCATAAATCAGTAGCATAACATTTTATTTCGCCAACAAATTAACGTTAATTTGAAATTTTCAGAAAAGAAAAACTCAACCCTTATATATATATATATTTTTAAAAAATTTCATATATTTATGTTCAGTTTCCCTCCAGTTCCAAAACCACAAAGATCTCTGACTTCTGAAGATCTTGAAAGTGTGCTATTTTCATCCTTCACGGTTCTTAGAAATCTGTTGCATGATATAACACAGTCGTAGAACGGACCAATGTATAAATCTGATACAATTCAAAATAAAACAATTTATTGCATTAACTAAAAAAGTGTAACAAGCAATATGCTGGTAAGATAAAGGATTATAGAGCCAAAAAAAAAAAAAAAAACGCACCTGTTGTAAAACGATTTTGAAAAAGGCGTCAAGGCTCATAAAAACTGTAAATATTAGGCAGAATCACGACATTTATTTACCGACTAACATATAACTGCAAAATTTATTTACAAAAATAATTTAATAAGAACTCTTTATGGCTTCAAGTCATCCTAGCATGCTGTTACTTCATTTCTACAAAGAACAACGCTTTTCTCATGTTTAAATTAAAACTGCACAGATTCACAAATGGCTCCCATTACAAACAGAACGATTATAGCAATTTCAACATGTCACCTATTTTTCCCAAAATTTGAAACAAACAAACTTAAAGCCGTGAGCAAAGAATTTTGCCACAAAATTTCAAATAGAACTGAAAAATTTTGAAAATAAGCACCATAAAATACCATAAGAATGACTGCTACATATATATATATAATGAAATCTGCCCATAAATACAATTTTTTCTACCAACGTAAAACTGAAAAAATACTCAGCAATCCAACTTGTCAAGTTCTATTAAGTTGATTCAAAACTGATGGAAGTTGCTCCACTTTGCTTCAGAAACTGATTTATAATTTATGTTACCGCTAAACAAGTCTTTTTTTTTTTAAATCAAACATTAAAACAAGCAAACAAATTACAATTACTGTATATACTGATTCGAAAGTTCCCGAATTTTGAAAAAACACTGGCTTCAGAGGCTTCAAATAGCCAAACGTTTTTCCAATTCTTCTTCAATTCGATTTCGTAGCAAACGGCACTGATTATCAGTAAGTTCAAGCTGTCGTGTTAAAGCTTTAGCCACGCGTGCACTGTTATCATTCTGTAAGAACAATAACTTCTCCTGTGATAAGTAACAGCAGTTACTGTTAAGTAATAACAGTTATTGATATATAACTTGCATTCTGATAAGTGAAAAAAATTTGAGCATTGTTAACTATATGAGAACGTGCAAATGAATATGGATTTATAATGCGGGGACTCCCAACAAATTGAAGAGAAAAATACCGCATGTACAATTTGCTCAACTGGATTACCATCTTGACCATGAATATTAAGCTTGAAGAGCGGTTCATTTCGCACAGGAGTTGCAGTAATAGTAGCAGGATCTGAATGTCTTTTTGTGTCTGCATTTCGCTTTACTAAAACCGAACTAGGAATCATTGTTTCTGCAGTCATTTGTAATCTTTCATGTTCTTCTTTTGCCATCTGTTCCATTAGACGCTGTCTAATTTCCTTACGCAGTTTTTCTTTCTCATTTTTTACATTAGAATTCTGCAACTGTTACATATATTTATTTTGTGTAGATGCACAATCAAAAAAATTTTGTGTTTATCTATTTATTTATACACAATAATATAAGAAATAAGACTTCCTTACTTCTTCATTCTTCGTGGTTTTCACATTAATACTACGTAGATGAGGGGGTATATACAGCAGCAGTGGATCACATGTTTTCCTAGACCTCTCTGTAAGTAAATGGACAAAAGAAGAGATAAAGACACAAAAATATTTCCAAACATAGAAAAATATAATTTCTTTATCCTCATGATTAATGAAGCGGAATAACTTCATATTCTGAAAATGAGTTCGTAAAACTTGAAGAGTTCATAAAACTTAAAATTTTTAATTCTCAGGATAGCAATACTAATTTTTGTGGTATGTGTATTCCCACCTCAGTTTACTTATTTTTTCCCTTCTTTCCCACTTTCTTTTACGTCTTGGCTTCGATAAACTAGAAAGATAAAGCACTCATCCTAAGGTTTAAAAATCAGTAAAGAACCATAAAAAAGAAAGAGTAAAAAATCACCTAGATGGCGATATGACGCTGCGACACTCCTTTCTGATACCAATTTATCATATTCATCCCTAAAGAAAGCAACTGAGTTAAAAAAAATAGATATCATAAAATATATCTAAACATTCTTAAGAATGTCATCAATACTAATTCCGAAAGATTTTCTTAAACCGCACGGTATAGTCTGCATGATGCAAACACTAACTAATGTCTTGCAGACTGCAATGTGACGAATGTATGACATGACATTTCTTCCCAATAATACTGCTGACAGACTAATAATGTCTGCAGAAAGCCATAACCTGTCAATTTGATTCCTCACAATACTTTTGATAAATCCATGATTCATATTCAGTCGTGGAACATTTGATGATTCCGCTTTAACATTATTCCGTTCAAACATCTCAACAGGACTCTTATTCCGTTTTGAATTATCATGTCTCTGCAGATTACCCCAAAAACTCATCTGTGATAAGCTATCAATTACTACCAGCAATCGATATTTGTACCAACGCACAAAAAGGATAAACAAATAGATTCTATATATAATAAACATTATGTTATCTTAATAGTAGATAAGCACCACCGTAGGTGAATTTTCTCTTTCAGTGAATTTCAACCATATTGTAATCAGTGTAATTTGCATAGATTACTCCATCGGCTACACACTTTAAACGAATTACATCAGCACTACTATCCATGACTCTTTTCTTTATTAATCACCGTTCCCGCACACAGATCATGCTCTTCTATAATATCTCTCAGTCTATACCATCATCCTTATTTGCCATGAACCCCAATCTATCGCCGAATGTCGCCAAACCCACCACCTCCCTGATCACGTCACCTCATCTGTCAGGACTGTTTAGAAACGCGGCCAATACGCGGATTGAAAATCCAAATCCATTGTGCGTCTCAAACTTAGAATTCGAACTTTAGCCATGTTGTTTCGCGTTCCGCTTTCCTAATTTGTTTATTCTTCATCACCTTCATGGCATATTTTTATCTTATTTAAATGGATTCGGACGAATATTCATCCTAAAACATCCTCGCCTAGTTCTGACTGAAGTGCTTTTAGATATTCTATGTTAGAGGTCACTTTATTTTTTGTGTCCAAAATATTTTTTCTAGAATGAAATCATCGATCTGAGTAAATATATAATACATTACCGCCTAATCGATTAAGCTTATATTACTAAAACTTAAGGAAGCAAGAGACTGACGGAAGAGAATCCTTTTTCAAACATTATCTTTGATTAGTCAGTGGTTCCTCGGACAAAATCCTCATGACCAATGGCGTTTTCAAAGTTTTCAGATCCGATTTCAAAGTTATAGTCAATTGTAATCACAAAACTATTCGACATAAAACCTTTAGCTGATGTTTCAGTATAAGTTTGAAATCAATGACAGTTTTTATCCGATTCTAAATGATGAAATTCGATTATTTCGGCTTTTTTATTGAACATTTGTAAGTAGAATACACGATAAACACAGGGAAAATGAGGAATGTTGGAAAAGGAATCAAAGATTTTTCTGTCACATATTATGCTGAAATTACCATATACAAAATAATATTCATCACTATTCTGTTCCAATCACCGATCTCGATATCGTATGTCGAAAATCGCATTTCTTCATTGAATTGATACCTATAAGATGGTGAAACGGATCTTTATTATCATTCAGTAAACTTCAGCTATTCATCCTAGGATTCAGAGCAGAACTTCGAGTTAGAGTGACTTTTGATTACACATCATTCGATTATCGTGTGGGTGGCAAATGCAAATTTTTAATGAAACTATGAGTAAGGGATGAGGAAATTTATTATTTTTGGTTCATATTTTTGAAAACAGTTTTGAACTTGTAAAAAAAATTTAAGCTCAAAATTCAAAACCGCTGTTTTTGACAATAACGCTTCAGTGCTCGTTATAATTCGTTAACATACAAGTGAATTGATCATTTCTTTCATTAGTGTGCTTGTAAATAAGAAAAGAAGCAAGTGATATAGAACGGTCACTAAGTTAATGCTCTGATTTAATTTTCTGAAGTTTGTTTGCGTCGATTCTAGAATGAAACCGCTGCGGCGAATATTTGAAAGAGTAAGCTTACATTTCCGGCTAAAAGACTAAAATTCAGTTTTGCTGAAACTTCGTTAAAAAATTTGGAATAAAATTTTCCTTCAAAGTTTTTTTGATTTTCTATCATTTAGTACTTCGAACTTAGGTACGACAGAGTTACGAAATATTGACTGAAAAGAAGTTCCCATCATAATTCACACCTTACTTGTCCTGTTAAGAAAGATACGAAAGTGATGGAACTGAATGGGAGAAATTATAGAGACCATTACGGGAAACGTTTTTGGATGACTTGATATGTGATGGTAAGAAATGTTATAAATAATAATGCAAAATATAATATGCAATGAATACATGTATAATTTGATTAGCAGAAGAATAGGAAGAGAAATTGTTAGTAGATAAAAAGGAAAAATATTCATGCTTTGAAAAATACGAAATCTTCTATGTTGAGATATAACATAATTTATGAAGGCTTGCTTGACAATACAGAACAAATTTTCCCCAACTTCGATCTGGAAATTGAAATGAATAATATTGAGAACCGTGAATGCCTTTAAATACTCCAGGCATATCTGATACTACATTAGTCATTAATCGCCATGAAGTGATTAGATATTAAAGTTTCAACTATTTTTATGCAAAGTAAATTGGAAAATAAGAACACAAAACAAATACTTATTGAAATAAAGGGGAAATACCTCAAACCAAAAAGATAAAAATTCCAAATAAAAGATGAATCAATAAATGAAAATTGTCATTTAGCTAGTCAGTGTCATGTACAGTACAACCATTATATGATCATACCAAAAAATGTAAAAGCCAAAAAGCTATTTTGCACACTTTACCTGATGACAGTTCAAATTTTCAAAAAACAAGTTCATCATAATAAATGTGGTGGAATGTTTTGAAGTAAAAAATTGATCATCTCACTTGCTCACCACGTGCTGTGTCTATCAGTTGGAGAAATAACTGACACTCTTCCTGAATGTATTTGATAAAAGTAAACAGTATGTCATTTCATGAGAAATCAGCTATTACTTTTTTTTACCATAGCAAAGAAACATTTTTATAATATACTAATTATATGTGATTTGTCTTAGCAAGTGACTGTGCATAAATAAGAAAGAAGGATAAAACTGAAGGAGCTCCTGTTTCATAATAACTTATTCTTCCATTACTGAGGTAGATATCCCAGTAATCACTTATAATTATTCCTGTAAAACTTATTATTAAATTAAAGAACTAACTGTCAGAGTGAACAATCTCCTCGAAGTTTACTCATATATTTCTTTTCAATTTTGGATCAGAAATGAAAGAAAACATAGATAAACGGGATTTTAATCCACGTAGAATTACGTAAAAGTGAAGAGGATATAGAAATGCTCTCTCAATTAGCCTTCAAAAGTGTAAATAACTTTATGAAGAAACGGCGATAAAAAATAAATGCATGGAATGTAAGTGTTCTAACATATGACCTTTAAGAACAGATAAAATGTGAGCTGCTTTTTACAGTAACAGCAAGTCATTGTCCTAAGTATTAACAAACAGTCTACAGAAATGAAAAAATTGCCCACTTGGGATCAAAACGGACAAATATATGCAAATATAGTGCAGCAATCAGATTTGGAATTGACAATTCCAACTTGAATAGACACTTCTTTCCATAAATTATAGATCAGTTAATGAACCAAATTACTTAAAACTTTCTTCAATATTCTTCAGATTGTATATATGCCTGAAAAGAAGGATACATTCCACTTCAGATTGTATATATGCCTGAAAAGAAGGATCTTGTGTAAAAAGATCTTCAATGAAAGCCTCCGTAACTTTTATTCAAGCATCTGAGATAAGTCGATGAGTCAGCGACAAGAAATAATGCTCACAAATGAAACTTCCAGTAAAATAAATGAAATGATTTATCAACTCTGAAACATCATCATAAAAGGCGCCCCCATTTCATGTGGGTAATTTTCATTATACTCAAAAAATTGAAAATGAATCGTAAAATAAACTGCATTTCTTCTCTTCAAACCTTTTTAATAGAGTGCAAAGACATAAATAATTTGAAATATTGCAGTTTGACCAATTTAAACAGCGATGCTTGGAATAATCCTTCATGATGTTCAGTGTTATGGAAAAATCTTTATTATTACAAGGTACACAAAAATGAGAGAATATTGACCAAGCGATAAAATCATTGGAACACAAAACAAGACCGTAGTTAGCGAATGACAAATGCTAAGAACACATAGGTTCTGAGAATGCTATCCTTTTGAGAACAATATTTATCTTTATTTGAAAGATAGGAAAAAAAATGAGGCCGAGGAATTGTTGTATTGTGCTTAGCTTTGGTAACCTAGCTTTATGAAGCCAGTAACTTACTCATACAGCTAGATAACCAAAGTAAAGTTGCAATACTTGAGCCAGACATGTTGCTAAAGAAAATGAAGATAAATAGACTTTTGTTTGATTTCAACAACTGGTAATCAAAATTATTTTTTTCCATAAAACAAGACAGCAGGTTATTAATAGCATTCAAAAGGAACAGAAGCAGATAAATTCTCATTTGTAAACAGTTTATAATTATGATTACTCATAAGACGAAAATTTCAGGCCAGTAACTTTATCTAAAGAAACTGAAGAAATAACTCCGAATTTTTATTTGGTCATACTACAGTTGATAATAGAGAATGAAACGAATTTCGTAAAGGTATGTTTAATAGTAGGAGTTTGAGATTGTAAGACGCCTCTTGCCTTAACTGTATGAATATCTTGTAATTATTTGGAGATATGTGATTTAGGTAAGTTTAAATTAAGCAACAAGAGCCAATAACCTATCAAATGAATGATGAAAAGGAACCATCGCATATTGTTAAAATAAGTGATAATAGTAATAATGATGAAAATGAAAATAACAGAATATGAGTGAAACAAGTGTCCGCCTTTTGTGAGGTGGGGATGCACAGAGACAGATAGAAGCATGCATACACTTATCATTGACTATAAACTGAAGAAGATACACGGACACCGGAACCGATACAGGAGCAGAGCAACACCATGTATACACAAACACTCCTTCCTTTTCCCTTCCACATCATCGTGATGTATTCAAAAAGCAATTAACCAGTTGAAGGTCGTCATCAGCCACGCCCTATCATACTACATTCTCGAGGTAATGCTGTCATTGAGCAATTGCTGTTAAAGATGGTGCAGGACAAGTAGATAGACTGACTAACCAAAGGACGGATGAACAAAGATCGACAAGTGGACAGAGGTTGGTGTAATGACCGAAGATGGGAAGGAAGTTAGACATAGAAGCAGCAGCAGCAGCAATAGGGATGGAAGAACACGAGCTTATCAGTGATTTACTTTAGTCCGAATCTGTTGT